ACTTAATAAAAAATTAAGTTTTAATATAAAGCAATTATGTTGATCAATTACTATTTTCATACAAGTGTAACATTACATAATATTACATAATTTTAATTATTTTTAAAAGTACTGCATAGAAATTTATAATCTTTTTTTTATTTAAACTTTTAGATTTAATGAATTTATGATACTATTTTTAACTTGATATCTTTTTTAATCAGCTTGTTATAAATTTTTAAAAAGTGTCCACACTTATATGGTAGACCACTGTATATATAAATTAAAGGTTTTGTCTCTTTGAACTATCTAATCTAAAAACTTGTAAAACTTAAATTAAAAATTAAAAATATAGAAATTTATTGTAAAGTAAGTATTAAAGTTTAAAAAAACTTTATAAAAACAAAATAATTTAAAAATTAGTCTTAATTGCAAATATTAATTTTAGTTATAATATTACTAAATTAGATATATAAATAAAATACAAAAGATTTTGAAATATGTAATACAAGTTTAAAGATTTTTCATAAAAGTAAATTGGTTTAAAGACTTAATAACTATGATATATATACTGATATCAACTAAGTTAATTAATAGATATAAATAAGTAGATATAAAAATTAAAATATTAGTTAAATGTGTTATTTATAAAATTTTGGATCAAGAAATATAATAACTTAGTGAAATGAATAAATTATTAATTTCTTAAATAGTAGATTAGAATTTCAAATCTTATTGATGATAAAAATTTGAAAAATTATCTATATAATATTCATATTATAACAACTGTTTCTAATAATTAGATTAAAATATCTATAATAATGATTATATTAGTATAACTGACAGATCATAGAGCAATTGCGTAAGTATAATATTATATAGAGAAATGCAAACTGGCATCAGATACTGCAAACTCTAAATAAGTTCTTGTAACTGTATAAATCTGTTAAAATTAGAAACATGAAGTTAATTTAGAAAAATCTGAATAGAAAGGTAATACAAATCTTTGACAATGTTACTGTAAAGACTAATCTTAAAAAATAAATACCAATTTTGAAATATTCAAATAAGCAAAAATTTCTAAGTAAGAGATTTTACCAACTAGGTCACTAGAATAAACTAGAAAAAAAATATTAGACTAATTTAAAATACTAATGAATTGGTTATAGTTCTATTAGGCAATCTAAATTGAAAGTTTAAAAAACAGGCAAGTATATACTAAAGTAATTCAAAAATGCTGTAAAATAGATGTTAAAGTTTGAGTAAACTTTACAAAAAAATAGTAATTTAATGACTAATCCTAATTACAAATATTAATTCTGTTATAATGATATAAAAAAATAAATACAAAAGGCTCTAAAAAGTTTACTTTAAGAAAAAATAGGTTTAAGATTAAGATAATAACCTAAACATAACTTAGTAAAATTAACACAAATGCAGGTTAGAAGGTTTAAAATAGAACATTCAAGCAAGAATGTTAAGTACAACAATTGGTAAGAAACCTTCAGATAAACTTTTTAAATAAATAATAAGAAAAGTAATACATATAGCCAATTGTACATTTTTTTGTAATAGTTTATAAAATTACATTTTCAAAAAAGTTATTAATAAAAGTTAAAAGACCAAAAAAATAATTTTAAAACTAAAAAAAAATTTTGTATTACAAATAGTATTCAAAATCTTAGACATAATAATTGTTTTTATAAGAACAAAAAAAAACTGTAAGTATTCTTAAACTATAGTTGATGTTTACAAAAAAAACTAACTTAATAATAAAATTTTTATAAAATCTTAAATAATTAATTTATTTTCTACTTATAAAATTACTATTTTTATTTTATTGTTCTTAAAAGATTTTTTATAAAAACAGTAAAAAATTTTTACAGCTCACAGGCTCAAAATTATAGTTTTATAAAAACTTTTAAACCATTAATTTAGAGCACTGATCACAAGTACTTATTTTAAAATTAAAAAAATTTTTTATTTAAAATAGTAAATTCTATTCTTGAACCTTTTTTATAATTATTAAATTAAATTAAATTTTGCATAATAAAATTCATATTTCCAAAAAATTTTAAACAAAATTTTACTTAAGCAAAAATTTACAAGTTACTAATTCTAGAATTTTAATAAAATTAAAATAAATTTAGTATAAATTTAATTATAGAATCAAATTTAATGTTACTACAAAGAAAAATAATTTTTTTTTTTCTAAGATGACTTTTTTTTGACTTTTAATAAAGTTATAGAACAATTTTTTTTAATTCTAAAATTAAAAAGATCAATAAAATTTAATTTGTAATTCTTGGAACATATAAACTTTTCTCTTAAAGATTTTATAAATTTTTAAAAATTTTGTAAAAAAAATTTTTATAATTTTTAAGAAAAAAGTTAAGAAATCTCAAGAACAACAAGGTTAATTTTACCGACATTTCTACAATTAGAATCACAAAGGTAAGCTTCATAACTTTTATCAGAAGTCAAAGAAAGGCTAACTTAAAAAAAAATTGAATTTTCTTTGTAGCAACACCAGATTTGACCTAATAAAATTTTTTTAAACTTTTCCTAATTTTGATTATGAAGCTAGTGCCGGCTACTCGTGAATCTTTCTAAAATTTTAAAAAATTTTTTAAACAAGTTAATCTGAAATTGGTTACAAATTAAAAGAATTGTTTCTTTTCCTAATTGTACTTTTTTAATTTAAAATTCACTTACTATACAAGATTTTAAACTTAAAATTTTTACCAAGAAAAAGTCAAAGTAAAATTTATTTCAATTCAACTTTAAAAATTTAGCGTGACTTTTACATTCTTAAATTTAAATTACATAATTTTGCAAAACTTAATTTGGTCAACATTGAATCTTCCACCGGCTTGCTTTTTAAGGCCATCTTACGTTGAATAAAAAAATTGCTTATTAAAACTAAACTACAATTCACATTTTTTTGAAAAAATGTTTTAGTACAAAGTCATGAAAAAACATAAAAAAAGGAAAAAGAATTAACAAACGCAACTTATACATCTAAACAATTCAATCATTTCTTCGAGAAATCCTTGCCATCCGAGATTTTAAAAACGACGAAAAAAAAATAAAAAAGAATTTCCTTTGCGAATTACTAAAACGAAAATAAAACTAGTCTGAATCTTAAGAGGATTTCACATTTGCAAGCAAATTTTCCAATTAGAAGTTGGTACTCATTAAATTTCATAAAAGTCAAATCCGGGACTTAAAAAATCTGGCGACGAATTTGAAAACTCCAGATTTATTTCTTCAAGAGAATTGAATAAAGTTGAACACGAAGAATGGGGAAATAAATGGAAGTTGTCAAAGGCTTGGTTAGCAAAATTATCCAGAATTAGGGTGTTAGGTTGTGGGTCAAGAATTTGAGTGGATAAATCGTTAATTTCGTAATTGTGAATGTTTTCAACGGAAGATGGAATAAAATTCGATGCACTAAGCTCAAAATTATTTCGAAAAATTGGAACCGGATTTTGAGACGACGATTCAGTTGCATGATTTAGCTCAAGAATTCTTTCATGTTCGTAAAGTGCTTGATCACGAAGTGAGGAAGACTGATGGATGAGCTTATTGGGCTTTCTTCCTCTCTTTTTTGTTGGCTGTGCGTATTCGCATTTAACATGACCTTTTACGCATTCAAAGCATGTTGCCTCCCCTGAGCATCGTATTCTACGTCTCCTGCAATTCTGACATGCAGTAGTCACGTATGCTCTTTTTTTTGATTGATTCGATTTGTGTTGATTCATGACGAATCAATTGATTCGATTTGATGGGTCTTTGAAAAACGGAAAGAAAAAAAAATTTGGAAAATTAGTTTCGTTTTTTTTGAAGTTTTCTTTTTCTTGAAACTGATGCTGTTTTTTTATTTGAATCGTTCATTCGAAATGTTAAAAGGCAAAGTCTTGAATCCGGGTAAAAATGATAGATTAAGACGCGCCTTACATTTGAATTTCATAAATGATTGAAAAGAACGGTTAAAATTTTTTACCAATTTCAAAAATGGGGACAAATTTTTATGTTTCGACGATTAATATTTTTTATATATTTGTTTGGAAGACGGAGTAAAACAACCGGCAAAATTCCTTTAGGTAAAAATTTTTCGGATACATGTCACGTGTTTACTTTAACTTATAAATGCTAAATTAAAATTGCCTGTTTTGTAACAAAAGAATTGAAGAAATGTGAATTCTCGCAGCGATTGAAATATAGACCCTTCATAAGTTTCTATCTTCGTTGATTTCGGCCTTAAATTATGTAATTTGTTTTGAATTTTCATTGAAAAGCCAAATGACATGGTTTTTAAATTACGCCAAGTTCCGAATTCCTCCAAAATAAAGCACATCCGCACATCTGGCCCAAATTTTCCCGGTTTTTAAAATCGTGGCAAAAATTTCATGCAAAAAAGGATGCTTAATTTCGGAACTTTGATCAGTTTTTGCAGATGAAAAATCAAAATCGGTTAAAAAATCCTCAAATGTCAATTCAAATGGAAAATGATTAATAATCAAATTTTAATGCACACTTTGAATCTAAAATTTAAAAACAAACTGATTTATTTGACTTAAATGTCGAATTCTTTTAAATTACCTTTCCCAGAGTGAATGAATGAATGTATGCATGTCGCGACATTTCGATGACATGATCTACTGAAACTGATCTCCTTCCCGCGATAAAGTACCCAATAAAACTCCAAATTCCCGGACGTATCATGATTGATTTCTAAACTTCCTGTCGGATCATGTGGAAATTTCTATGGTACATTTTGGAAAAGTAACACCACGCAGTAACATCTTATATGAACAATTCATACGTTAACGAATAAAGTTAAGATTATCACCGAAGAAATATCCTTATAACCGACGGTTTACCCGTATTTTACAGTTAGGGATTTTACCTGAAATAGAAATTGATCTGCAAAAATTAAAAGACAATTCCCAACCGCGATTTCTATTTTAAAAAGTGTTTTTTTTCAAAGACAATCAGGTTTAAAAAAATTTTTAAAAATTTTCTTGCAAAAGTTTTTCTATAAACATGTAGTCTAAAAATCCTCCGGGATCTCTGGGGCGGTTGCGCCCAAATAAATACACAGACAATGATTGGCGCAAATTTTGCCCAATAGAATTTTCCAATTGCAGGTGATCTACATCTGAAAAATCCCTGACTGTTTTATATAAGCAATGTTGTACACTTTCAATGGCCTTTTTTGTCCATATCAATGAACGTAAAATGTTCATTATGCTTTATATAGTATAGTTTATAAAATTTTTATACAATTAAAGTTCGATGTTAAACATTTTAAGTATAAATCCGATCTTCAAGGCTGTAAAGCACTATCGCTATGTATGTTGATCACAAATGGTGAAATCCGCGTTCATCATTGTTTTTATTATACAAGCGATTTCACCCAACGTGATCCGCATCATAGGTTTTACTGGTTTATTAGTTTGCAACACCCCGACATTTCAAAATTGTATACCGAAATAACGCACGGGGGTGTAGGTTAAAACTTTATACCTCATGGGTACGTAAGTTTGGGTCGGTAATCGGTCCTAATCGGACCCAAAGAAATTAGTTTCAGAGATGATTTTTCAACACGTCGTAAATTAAATTGGTTATAATTTTTTAACTAGGGTTACTTTTTGGAGATAAATGAAAAAAATTTGTTCTAAAGTTTAAGACATCTGAAAATATAGTCCGGTCCGGTCCAAACGGTCCCAACGAATCGTTGCTTTTTTTAATAGAAGTTTTTTTTTAAGAGCTATTAATAAAACTCACTTATAGCAAGGGTTGACACATTTATCCATTGGGCCCGATGGAGATTACCTCCATTTACATTAGTCCATTACTCCATTGGGAATAATGTGCCAATGGTGCCAACGGAGTCCAACATAATAATTATAAATTATATATAATATATGAGTGCTTCCAAGGGAAAACCTGTAATCGGGTTTTCAATTATATTTTGTATTGGACACAATCCCTAACAAATTAGACTAACTGTGTCCGATACAAAAAATAATTGAAAGCTCGATAACAGGTTTTTCCTCGGTGACACTCATATATACGTGTGCTGCCAAGAGAAAACCTGTCATCGGGCTTTCAATTATATTCTTTGTACAGTTTGTTCCTATAACGCCATCTTGGAAAAAAACCTATCATCAATTTCTCTTGACGGCACTCTGTAAACAAACTGAACACAAAAAGCTCGATGACAGGGCCAATTAAAATTTAAAATCAGGTGTAACAATTATATCTTAAAATTTTTATTAAAAAATCATCTTTTGTATTTTAATAAAAAAAATTTCTTGTAAAATTTTAGTATAAGCTATGCCTTGCCTAACTCTAACCTTAATCTTAATCTAACTCTAATTAAAAGTTTTATTTTTTATAAAAAAAAGATTGTTTTGATTTACATGTTACACCAATTATGTGTTCACATATAGAGTAGCACTATAGTACTATAGCACTATAATAATATTTCCATATTATATATTCTATATAATTTATAAAATTATTAATTTGTTAATTCAATGAGGGTTGCTTATTAAAGACAAATCATTGGACACCTCTAGAATGCATTATTTAGAGTTTTATTTTTTGACTGCGAGATCGATTATCATCACGTAAGTTCGACTTTTACAGTAATATGTGGTAATGTGCTTGACATTAGATTTTCGTGCATGCAGTTAGGCGGGTGCAACTTAAAGACTTCAAACACCATACAAATCACGCGGGTATTACCAGGTATTTAAATGGAAACTAAAAGAAACGGAATAGTTTAGCCAATGCATTACTTTTTTTTTTTTACAGTAATTTTACGTACTTCGATATTTACTAAAGGGGCAGCCGTCAATAGAAATCAGGCGGATTGGCATCACGCGGGTACTTTAATCCACAAAATACGGTAATATTTAAAGGAAATTTTGTGTTCTAAGCTTTCTTTTGACTATTGAATCCTTAAAATAGCTTCAGAATTCATTGAGAAATGAGCTGCGAAAGTTAAGATATTGATTTTTTTTTTAATCCGCCTGACAATCAAAATTTTTCTGATGATCAGATCGACTTCAATCGCAATCAGCAATTTATAAAAACAGCTAAACGGTGATATTATTTCTGTATGTTATCTACGTACCGATTTAATTCTATTCGTTAGCCAATAAGATTTTACGAAAACAGCTATAATGAGTAGCTTTATTATGCACCAACCACTACGTAGAATAATCGTGGCAGAAAGTATTCGTAATCACATGATCTTAAATTAAATTAGGCTGATCAGTTTGTGTTGAAAAAAATTCCATCCGAGTATTCACTCTAATTATCTGAATAGCTATTACTGTAAATTTTTGGGTGGCAACTTACGTACAATCTCTAGTTTTCTGATCTGCTTACTAATATATTAGATATTTTACTGCACTATATTACTAATTTATCGAAACGGTATTATGATGAGGGGTAGAAATTAGCAATTTAGCATTAGATACGTACATACCAGAGATGCCAAATAATTAGTTGCAATCAAATTATTAGAGATGGTATAAAAAATTGCTTTTTAATGATTTTTATGTTTTTTAATTTGTTGATTTTGATTTAACAAAATGGTTTAAAACACTATAGCGTTGATGGTTGAAGCCGAAATTACTGTATCTAATTGGTTAATTTCAACTACAGTGTCGTCATGAGTTTTTTATTCCTTAATCGAAATATGCTATTTGTTTGTGTTACAAAAGTCAAAAAGTCAGATAGTTCTTTGCTTGGTGGCCTTAAAGTATGCTGCTAGAATTTTACCAAATTTGTAATAATTAATTAGCTTTGTACAATAGTATTTTAGCTGATGAAGTTGTTTAAAATCTGTTATTGAAAAAAGAAATTTTAGTTCTTCTTTAAGTTTTTGCAAGTTGTTAGGCAATTTAGATGATGAAATAAAGTATGATTCTGATAAGGTCGTAAAATAGAATATAGTATATAATAAGCTTGCTATAGCTTGAGTTTGTAATTTTTTAATAATTGGTAGTTCAAAATATATAATTGTTATAGTTTCAATATTAATTTCTGATGGTTTGCTAGTGTTACAGAGTTGTAACCTTCTTGGTACAATACAACCAAGTAACAAGATTACCTGGTACAATGATTGACTATTGCAAATATATATGAGATGGAGGTGTAGTAGTTCACTTTACTACATAGCAGCAGGCAAATAGTTCAAGATAGTAATAGTATATAGATTAACTTTTATTAAATAAATATACAGTAACAATTTTATCTGTAGTAATTATCTTAGAAGAGAAATATCATTTTTACAAGTTAGGAATAAAAGTAGAAGGGTCTAAGTTGAAGTATAAGAACTTAGAATTGGTAAGAAAGGATAAAAACTACCCTTTATATATCTTTTTATCTAGCAAGAATAGTGAAGATTCAAGCAACATTACTTGATACTGTACTTGGGATAATGTGAGTTCAAACAACATTAAATATCATTGTATTTGGAATAATAAAGGTTCAAATAATATTAAATAATACTGTGCTTGGAGTAATAGAAACTGTATAGAGGCAACTTAGGATATTGTTTATATTATTTATTATTCATACTTAAAATACTTGGAACTTGTATTTAGATACTTGAATCTGTACAAAGGTATTTGGAATTTGTATAAGAATACTTGAAGTTTATATAGGAACACTTGAGGTTCATGTTGAGGATACTTGGGATTCTTGTATTGTGATACTTGACACAGTAATTTGGTGTTAG